TGGAGGTCCAACGAAGCACTTGTGGGATCGGGATCATAGAAGAGCACACCTGTGGCAAAGGATAAGAGAATGGTGAAGTCGGTAGCTTCGGTGTAGAGTAGGTAAAGAGGATCGGTCCACTATGCTGTCCAGAAGGTACTCACTCCTCCCAGAGGACAATAGTCGGGGTAGGCCGATCCTTGGACTCTGAACAATAGTTCGGTTAGGAAGGAACGACGATTCGATAGAGTATATTAGGAAGGATGCACTTGTAAAAGAAGCCTTCATGCCACACGCTGTCAACAGCTTGTGTCACGTCAAGAAAAGCTCCTTATTTTCACAGCATTCTTTGCCCACTAGTGGAGTGTTAAGGTCGAAAGCCAACTGATGGGCTAGGAGAAGGTTGGAAGATTTGAGTGTCGGGATTAATCGTTTAAGAAGTATCTTCTCGAATACTTTTGAGAAGAGAGGGAGTGACCGATTGGACGGTAGGAAGAAGCATTTCGGGAGGGTTTACAACTGGAAGCTGGGTAAAACCCAGTAAAATTCTCTTTATCTAAAGAAATCGATTCAGGGGTTCGATTTCTCGAAGATTAAATCGGCAGAGTCGTTGAATATGTTTAAATAAGTCGACATTTCAACACATATTGCTCATTTAATAGGAGCGATTGCGACACCTCAAATTTTCTAGTTTCTTTCACCGCTAGGCCAAATACCACTCAAATACCTCATCCTCTGGTCAAGTCCTTCTACTAATTCCGGATAATTTCTATTTTGCACTGGGTTTTTCTGGATTTCTCCCTGGGTCACGAGCGGTGAAGGTTGAGTAGGAAGAAGAAGCTATCTCTCTTATTTAAGCTTATTTAACCAGGAAGGAAGTTTCAATTAAGCCGGTGATTATTAATGCAAGGGTCTTCACTGAGCATCCTTTTTTTCAAGTTTTCGTTATTTCTTAATTGGTTAATTAGTCGGCTGCACTCGCCGGGAGGATCAGTTTGGCAAACCAAATGCGGATTTCTTTTTACTTTCGGATGCGACTAATTTGCTATTCCTGAACTATTAGCAATTTTCAAAGTTTTATTTACCAAATTTATGTTGTATGTCACTCATAAACTGGGCAAATGCGCGGATAAGTGATGTATTTAAAGTAATAGTAAATCCTGCCATAAGGAGGCCTTACCGCCAAATTGGATGTCGCAGACGATAGGTCAAACATCCTTATAATTCACTATTTTTCGTGGTCCGCTTGACAAATTAATAACATTCAATTAATTAAGGTTTTAAGTTGAGATAAAAAGTCAGTGTCACGAGCGGGATTCGAATTTTTATCTCAACTTAAAAACCAAAAATAGTGAATTTAATTGATTAAAATGAAGTACACCTCACTAAAGCTCTCCGTGGCCGTCTCATTTGTCGCCGAGAATCCAATCCGATTACACGACATTTGAAAAATGGCAAAAAGGAGGGAAAATTCAAAAGGTGGGGTTGAGATGGAAAGTTAGTGCCCGAGGGGATCGAAGTCACGATAGCTCAAGTGGTAGAGTAGCGGCGTATCAAGCCGAAGGTCGTGGGTTCGAATCCCGCTCGTGACACTGATTTTTTATCTCAACTTAAAAACCATAATTAATTGAACCTCCTTACAATATTTAATTTTTCAAATTGCTGTCAATTACAATTTAATTAGCTATGCCGGCCTTCGAACTCTGATCTCCCCGCGTCTAGGATAACAAACAGGTCTGGCTAATAGCTCTGCCAAAGCCAAAAAATATTAAAAAATCTCTGAACTCTTAGCAAGGTAAATAACGAGGCGGACGCCCTTCCTACTCGGCCACCGCCGTCCTGATATGATGAGTTAATAAATTTTGTATTCAATAAATGTTATTCAGTCGAATGAAAAGTATATACTTTATAAAAAATTGAATTACTGATAATTAATACCGATTTACATAAGCTCAAATCTGCACATGTGCATAATACGTACGTGGACAGAGTTGAGCCTACTTCTCGTAGCCCACCGGCAATTACATCTTTTGTAATTTACAATAAATCACCCACCTCGGATGTTGGTAGACTAGGGTCAGCCTGGTCTTATCAGTCCAGCTATCTAGGTTGGGCTCCAGTGGCTATCTACACCTAGGTCATTTCAGTTCCCAACGTCTTCACTGTAACTCTTAAATACATTCTTTCCTATTTCCATACTATGCCCAACTTAGAATGGTGAAGTAAGCGATCACCCTTTACACCTTTTATTATTTAATTTTCTCTACTTTTTATTATGTAATTAATTAAAATGAGCTTCGAGTGGGTACTTAATATTCCTCCATGGTCCCTCTCACACAATTCATTTACGCTAATAAATACATTCACTTTCAACACACAGGGGACCCAAAAATATCAATGCAATAAAACAACCATGTTTCCTTCAATACGAATAATCATTAAGGAATTAATTAAATCATTAAGGAATTTTTAAAATGAAAATGTTTACTTAGAACACACTTGTAAACTTAAAAATAGCACGTTGTTTGTGTTCAACTGTGTTAAAACCAGCTGAAAAAACTTTAATTTTTTATTTGGGACTTTTCTGGCCATCCTGGTCTGCTTGAGGTATTAATCTGAGACGCATTTTAAAGATTCAACGGTTTGTGGTGACTTTCTGGTGGAAGATGGATAATGGGAGCTGCAAGTCTGTGTTAAAAAGCGAGGATTAGCGGACCAAAATGGAAACAACCAAACTACTGGTTCATCAGTCGGCCCTCAAAAAAAAATTTCGTCTTAGATTTTAAACTTGTTTTGGGATTAAACGTCGTGAGACCCTTTGGGCATTAGAAGGCATGTGGATTAAAACATCAGGACTATGTTTGCTCACACAGGTGAAGTGGGTGAAAGAAAAGTAGAGAATCCATAAGATAAGGAAACTTCACTCTTCATGGCTCATTCAGAAGTCAAGTCTCGACATGCTTGTCTTGGCATTCGCCAAATAGCATGCCTATGCATCCACACATGCAGGGTTCGTACAACCCGCCAATTTGTGCGGAAACAGAGAATACGTATTGCCAGTGCCGTGTGAGTCCTCAATGTACTACCAATCGTGATGGAGAGCAGTGAAACTGTCATTGCTGCAGCTGCTGTTACTTTTTTGTGTAGTGGTTGACAAACACAGTTACAGAGTACTGTTGCCCCATCTTTCTTTCCATCCGTTCCCACGCATCGAAAACCTCGTTCCGACTTTTGTTATTCGGAAGAGAAGTGTTCCAATTATTGGTTCAGCTTGGTTCAGATCGAGGAACCCCAAAACTCCATGTTGGGCTATTCCTAACTGACAGAAACAACTCTACGATGTTCTTTCATGAAAACATCTATACTACTTAGGAATCTTTTATTATTAAAAAATAAATAGCAGTGTTGATTGGTGATTACAGTTGATATCCGTACAGTACCGTTGATTCCCGAATGTTTGGATGCTTCGAGTTCGGCGTCTTGACTACTTCACGAAAATTTGTGCACTTTGAAGCAGATAGGGAATTTGTCATTGCCAAAAAGCAATGAGGGAGCACCGAATAATGTTGATCGGCGAATAACCGAGCACCCTCCCCATTAGTCGGAAATCGGTGAGCAAAGGCTCGGCATTCGACAGTCCCGCAAATCTGAGCCACCTTTAGCCAATAAAAATAAAAGAACTGAGTTCCTCATAAAAGTAGAAATGAAGTGAGGTTGGCCTCAATGTAGATAACACACTTTGATAGGCTATAAATAGGTATATAATTTTTTCTGTGAGGTAGTCTGAAACCTTTAACTTTTCTTTCGAGTTCTCTTAAGTTTTACATTTATATATTACATTGATAGGCTAATTGTTGTGGTGGGACATGGAACTTTTTCGGTTAAGTTTTTCTTGGGATTCATATTACCCTGATTTATTAACAGTTCATCTATTTGAATTTCTATCGTACTCTAGTTTCTTTGTTGACCAGTAAATTTCTTTGAAGACAGACTCAGTTCCAACATTGGCAATTTGATTTGTTCTGATTGACTTTGTAGTAATAATTAAATTTGTTTTTTCATTCAGACCATGCCACAATCCAGATTATTAGTGATTATTGTTTTTCATTAAAATTAAAATATTTTCTGGAAAAATCTCGGCTCAGGATTTTTTTTAACCACCCTCAAAAAAGGCCAGCAAATAAGAAAAATTAAGCTGTTTTGATAATTTTAAACAATCATTTTTACATTTTGAAGGAAATATTAGTGTATATTGCAAGTCTTGTTACATAAGCTGACAAATTTGAAAAATTATGTTTTTCATTAAGAACTAGAATTTGTATTAGATCTCACAATTGTACATCACCTTGAATATTTACAATTTAATAATATACTACAATTTGTATAATGATCGGTCAAAACATATTTATTTATTTAAGTTGAAAGGGGGTGAAAGGTGTTTTTATTCCGTTTGTAAGTCAAAGTGAAAAAAATTACAATTTTATAGTTAGCAGTACTTATTATATTTTAAATATTTTAAAAAGAGGAAAGGGAAAAATCCTTTACGCACAAATGGTACACCTACACGGACAAGACAATAGTTGAATAATTGGTAGGATAGGTCTGCAGCAAAAGATCTTTTTAAATATTGATAAACAGAAACCATAAGAGGATTAAAAATACTGTGAAAGTGGTTTTCACACTATCAGAAAATTGAGTTTTTTAATCTTCAACTGTAAGGTCTTTCTTTGCAACGATTATCCGCCCATTGCCATCCGTTTTTTATATATTTACTTTCTACAATTTACTGGAAAACCGAAGTTAAAAAGCCTACAAGAACTTTCTCTCCATGTATCTGTAATTTAATTATTACGAGATCAGATTCAAGACATAACCGTCCGTTACGTCATCGAATATAAAGATTGCAGAAAAAGTCAATTCGGTCTAATTGGAAAACGTATACGGAATGAAAGATGAAAACCTGCCAAGTTGAGGGGTTTTGAAAGCCGATGGATATGCAGTTTGATGAAGAATTTCCTTACCTATGAAGACACCGATTGGAGGTGACCGCATCTTCGCATTGGCTGAAACAAAAGAATAACGATTAAAAAATAATTCTTGACTTCAGAAAAAATAATATAAATTTCAATACATACAACAGATACATGAAAAAATTTACTGGACTTTATTAGGCCAAATAAGTTTTTGTAGATGATGGATCGAAAAAACCAAAACATTTTGAAATTTTTTTTCAAACCGTTATATTCAAATAGATTGAAGATTGTAGAAAAAATATCTTAACTAAAGCCTCAATAATAATTACTGTTTTCAGTCTACTATTGAAAGCAAGAATTAGACAGATTTGAATAGGACAATTAGTATAAAAAAAGTTCAATTTGTTTCACAATCGCAATAGTCAAATTTAAAATAAAAAATTTCTTCTTCTGCCCGGGAACCTTTGCCAATTAGCGATGTGACGAACTGAATAAAGACGAGACGAACGTGGGAGCGCGAAGAGGATGAAAAGAAAAGGGTAGAAAGTGCTACAGGCTATTCAGCATCGGTAGTACTGCGTTCACCTTGACCCATTTCACCTCGCTCCGAGCCACTGCTGCAGAATTTCACTGTCCCGATCTTCCTCTTTTTAAGAGGCCGTTTACTATTTCGTCCTTCATATTTGCAATTTTATGATGATGCAACGTACGATCAATGAAAACGTTTTCGTGAAGGTACGGAACATAAGTACACTGATGAAACTCGATGGTTGTCTATCAATGTTTATTTTTAATTTGTGGGAGTTTGTGAGGCTACTTTATTGAATGATATGTAGAGTTGATGTTGCAGATTGTAATCACATAAAAGTCAAACAATTTCTCTCTCACTCACTCTCTCTCTCTCTCTTCCTTCCTTCCTCTATCTCACATACACACACCATCTATCTCTATCTCTTTTTCTTTCCATCACTCTTCCACTCTCTCTCTATTTTTCTCTTTGTCACTCTCTCCCACCCTCTCCCAAACCATATATAATATATGCACATCTATCTATCTCTATCTATCTGTCTCTCGCTTCTTCTTTCTGCACATATTTCACAGCATCTATCTCTTCAGTTCAATATTTTTGTCTCTCTCCCACTCTCTCTTCTCTCTGTCTATCCCAATTAATCTCCTTCCCTTTCTATTTCACTTTCTTTCTCTCTCTCTCTCTCTCTCTCTCTCTCTCTCTCTCTCTCTCTCTCTCTCTCCCTCCCTCCCTCCCTCCCTCCTTCTCTGTGCAATCTTTTTCTGTCTCAATCTCTCATCTATCTTTTTGCCTCTCTCCCTCTCTTTCTCTCTATCTATCTACTTCTCTCTTTCTCCCTCTCGGACTTTCTCTTTATCCCCTCTCTTTCTCTCTCTCTCTCTTTCTCCTTCTCTCTAGTAGATTTTAATCACATAAAAAGACAAACACACTCATAAACAATTTCTTATTCTCTCCAACTATTTCTTTGTCTCATATATCTAACTATCTGTCTGTCTATCTATCTATTACTCTCCTTCTCTTTGTACATTTGTTGTTTTGACTTTTCCTCTCTCTATCTCTCGCATCTATTTATCCCCCTCCTTCTATCTATGTACCCCGTCCCACCGACATAATGTAAGTGTTCTTTAGCAGCCTTTGTTGACTTTAATGTACATAGGTGTTTTATAATAAAAGCAAGTCATGTATTTACTTTGGCGTAGGAGGTGCAATATGTCCCCTCATCTATCGAGCTTTCTTTTTGTTTTCATGACATTAGACAGTTCCAAATGCAATGTTGAGATGTGCTTTATACGATTTCTTCGACCAATTTCCCACCAGTCTGGACCAAAAGTCCGTACGTAAATCTTACAGTCACTTTTCCTCCAGTGTTTTCAACCACATGTCCAAGTCATAATGGTACCGAATTGATAAACGTGTGAGCATAAAGGATGTGAAATGAAAAGGGTAGAAAGCAACATGGCCTATGTTCCTTGAGGTTTCAAGACAAAAAGATAAAAGACAAAGGTATTTTCCACACCTTCGCAGTGTGGTTTAAGACTTCACTCTTATGTACTAAAATAGACACATTTATTTCGTTTTCTAAACGAGTTCTTAAAACACTTTTTAACCATTTGTCTTCAGGCGATCATCCCACATGGCGGTCCAATTTACATACCAAAACGAGTTTTGCGTATATCTTTATTGCTTTATTTTCACTTATTAGCATGAATAATAGGGTAACTAATCCAGGAAAAATTACAACCCAATAAATTTTAATAAATTATTTATTGCGAATGTACAAGTTATTATTGAAAACTTTGCCCATTGAATTCACTTCATATTAATTGGTTCTTCTGTGGTAAGTAGGTCGTTATCGAAGTCAATTTAGTGTTGAACCTTGTACATATTTCAGCCAACGTTGAAACATTTTCGCAAAACCGAATGTTTGTCGCTTTGTGCTGAAACAATCGCTTTTCATTTCAGCTCAGCGATCGGGTTAATTGTCCGACTGCTTTCGAGCCGACTCACTTTCCCAGGTGGACGTCCATGGTATTTATCCGAATCAACAATTCACATTCGAGCGGCCAAGGCTTCTCGTGAAGAGCGGCTCGTTAAGTCTTTAACGCTTTTTAAAAAGCACGAGCTGACGGATTCTTATGTCTTACCTATATCGCGACCCTGACATTTTTCACCTTGGGGTGACATCCGCTTTTCCCACAGAATGTCAGAGTGGTCAGTTTTTCAAGGTTGGGTAACTATCGACTGGGAGAGTATGAAAGTAACACTCTAGTCCCTGGTGATTTACCGCTTTAGGGTGGTGGCACATAACAAAACCAATTATGAATGAAAATTCAAATACTTTTTTGGAGTCTGTGAGACCTCACCCGTTCTTCCTTCGCCAAAATTTGCTTGCGATGTATAACTTGGTGTATTTTTCCATTTAATTTTTAGAAATTATACACATTGGTGAATTATTAATTATTAATTTTGTATGCTCTCTATAAAACGATTATTTCTGCATATTACCATGCAATTCCAGTCTTTGTTTATCAAGATTGTTTTTATATATTCAAAATTCTACTATTCATCATCATCAAACATTGCACAAGTATACAAAATTTCATTGAATTTGATCTAGGGGTTCCGGATTAAATAGTACCAAAATAAAGCCAATTTCTCAATTAGATAAAGTTTGAAAAAGTAATCAAGTCTCGCCGATAGTTCCGCTTTCGTCAAAATTTCATAATGATGTATAACAATGTATAATCTTTCAATTTAATTTATAAAAATAATAAAACATTATTGACTTAATTTTTACGTTCTCTACAGAGACGGGTTTCTTGATCTACAGATTTCTTCCGGCGTTTTTACCAAGGATTTCCTTTCTTTTAAAAGTGGAAACATTTTCCTTACATATTTTCTAGTACTCAAAATCATAATCAAACATTGCACAAGTGCGTAAAATTTCTTTGAATTTTATCAAAAAGTTCTGGAGATAATGGTACCGAAATGAGGCCGAAATGTATGCACGTATCTAATAAGAATCAATTTATTTTCTTATACATTTTTTACAAATAATGACTTAATGATGATTTCAATGAGCCTTTTCCACCTTTTTTTAACTTTTTGTAATCGCTATAACATTAAATAATGTTTGCGTGTATAACTAACACTATACAGGGTGTCCTTTTTAGATGGCCCGGCTGAATTTCTCTTGTCGCTATAAAAAAATGCATGTTTGGTGTTTTTTTGTCTAGTTTCAAATTTTCACCTTTTTTGGAGAAAAATTATACAAGGTAACTCAGGCCTCATTTGAAGTACGACCCTACATCCTGACACATCATTTTGAAGTAAGGTTTACGCATTGCATTTTAAATTGGTCAAAAAATGACGAAGTTATGGCAAAGAGAAACCGGCAGCGTAATTTCGACGAGGAGCAAAATATTTTCCTAAATTTCCTGAATGGGAAGTTAGTGACCGAGGGGATCGAAGTCACGATAACTCAACTGGTAGAGTAGCGGCGTATCAAGCCGAAGGTCGTGGGTTCGAATCCCGCTCGTGCCATTGACTTTTTTATCTTAACTTAAAACCTTAATTAATTGAAAGATATTAATTGGTCAAGCGGACCACGAAAAATAGTGAATTTTCCTGAATATTCGTGAAAATCCGAATTCTTTTCTCTGAAATGTTGGAAGGGTTTTTCAAAAAAATAAAATCAGAGATAAACTCCGGACTGACAATTTTAAGCCGTATCGCACTCATCTTGGCATGGACTTCGGGACTCTGATTATGACAGGAAAAATTATACAGGGTACCTCAGGCCCACTTCAACTTGAAAATTTCAAATAAGACCCCTATCCATCCTGACATATCATTTTAAAGGAAGTTTCACGCTGAAAACAATGGAAACACTTCACAATTATGTGCCAGGACGTACAGGATCCCATTTGAAAATTTGATGAACTGGACCTTTATCCTTTATAAATTTTCTCCAAAAAAAGGAAAAAATTTGAAACTAGATTAAAAAATATTAAAAGCGTATTTTCGTTATTGGTTCAAGAGAAATTAAGCCGGGCTATCTAAAAAGGATACCCTGTATAGAAGTAAGTACAGTACTTCACATTTCACAAATTATAAATAAAACTTTAAAATTTGACCAAGAAGAGTATAACAAAAAGTAGAAGAATCGGAAGCCTTTAAAATTAAAAAAAAAATCGATATCTGAACCATAACTTTGTTTAAGCAAATTTCCAAAATTCAATTGCATTTGGCCAAGGGGTTCGAAAAATAATGGTCCATTAAATAACTAGCTGATAGAAAAAGGTTGGACAGTAAAAATCCTGGTTAAAATGGATAGATTTTTTATATTTTTAGAATTTAACTTATTGTTGGTACCACGATTGTACCACTACATATCCAATTTTTAGTGTTTAATTATAAAATTATAAAAGCCTGATAAAATTTACCCAAGCATGCATCAAAACGTTAGGTTTTCATCGAAAACCGACTGTTGCTTAACCGAATAATCCCAATGCTAAACATTGTCGGAACTCGATCGTCCAGTCATGATTATGATCAATTA